GCTTTACCATAAGATTGGCCTGTCTTGGCTCTTGCTTCAGATGTACCTAAATTCTCTCAAACAAGCAGCATCTGGCCTCAGTGAGCCCCATATTGCTTGCTAAGTGGTCCCAGGCCCAGCACTTGGAGCAGCCAGCCTTAGTTCACAGCTTGGCTTTGCCTGGGCACCTCCAAGCCCTACACAAGAAGCTGCCATCTGCAGATTGCTCTGTAGCTTATGCTGGGTGGTCCCGGGTAGAACATAGGCAGTTACTGACCTTCCCTTAAAGCCAGCACACCAGTGGACAGCTTCAGGCCACGTCAGAGCACCACCACCCAACCACCTCCACAAGCAACACACACAGGAGTGGACTCAATGGGTACTAGAGCCCTGCTGAAGTAAGTCTTGCTCTGACTGGTGGGCCCCTGCACAGCTGATCCTCCAAGGTAGTCAGTGGTCAGTGGGCACAGCTTGTCCTTGCAGCTGATCAGCCTGAGTAAATCCCTCCTAATGACATGTCAACAGCAATCAAGACTCATTTACAACAGAAGGGTGTACAGTCCACACTAGGAGTGCACTTCAAGGGCCCAGCTGGGGTGATCAGGGAGGCTGTGCCACTGGGCCCTACAGGACACCTACTACAATAGGCCATCCTAGGAAGCCTACGAGACATAGAAACAAACACAGGGAGGCAGCCAAAATGGGGAGACAAAGAAACATGTCCCAAATGAAAGAACAGAACAAAACACCAGGGAAAGAACTAAACGAAATGGAGATTAGCAATCTAACAGATGCAGAATTCAAAACACTGGTTATAAGGATGCTCAAAGAACTGAGTGAGAACCTCAAGAGCATAAAAAAGGACCAGTCAGAAATAAAAGATGTACTAACTGAAATAAAGAATAATTTACAGAGAATCAATAGTAGAGTAGGTAAAGCCAAGAAACAAACCATTGATTTGGAATATAAGGAAGCAATAAACACCTAATCAGAACAGCAAAAAGAAAAAAGAATCCAAGAAAATGAGGATAGTGTAAAGAGCCTCTGGGAAAACTTTAAGCATACCAATATTCACATCATGGGGGTGCTAGAAGGAGATGAGAGGAAACAAAAAATGGAAAACCTGTTTGAAATAATAATGACAGAAAACTTGCCTAACTTGGTGAAGGAAACAGACAAACAAGTCCAGGAACCACAAAGCACCCCAAACAAGATGAACCCAAAGAGGCCCACACCAAGGCACATCATCATCAAAATGCCAAAAGTGAAAGACAAAGAGAGAATCTTAAAAGCAGCAATAGAAAAGCAGTTAGTTACCTACAAGGAAGCTTTCATAAGACTGTCAGCTGATTTCCCAAAGAAACTTTGCAGGCCAGAAGGGAGTAGGAAGACATATTCAAAGTATTGTAATAAAAACCTAGGACCTACAACCAATATTACTCTATCCAAAGCTATCATTTAGAATCAATGGACATATAAAGTTTTCCAGACAAGAAAAAGCTAAAGGAGTTCATCACCGCCAAACCAGTATTGCATGAAATGTTGAAGGGTCTCTGAAGAAGATCAAAAATATGAACAAAAAAATACATATCTATCAACAATTGAATCTACAAACAAAATGAACAAGCAGAATAGAAACAGACTCATAGATACAGAGAACTTTATGTTGGTTGCAAGATGGGAGGGGGGTTGGGAGGATGGGCAAAAGAGATGAAGTAGGATTAAGAAGTACAAATTGGTTGTGAGACTGGCGAACCTCAAAGGGAAGGGGGTAAGTGAGTGGGAAGAGATAAATTAAACAACTTATATGCATATATGCATAACCAATGGACACAGACAATAGTGTAGGGAAGGCAGGGGGGGCAGGAGCAGGGAGAAGGAGGCCAATGGGGGGACAAAGAAGGAACATCTGTAATACTTTCAACAATAAAGATAAGTTTTTTTTAAAAAAAAGAGTTGTGCCCTGGCCAGTTTGGCTCAGCAGTTAGAGCATCGGCCTGCGGTCCAGAGAGACCCGGGTTCAGTTCCCACTAAGGGCGCACACCTTGGTTGCAGTTTGTCCCCGGCCCTGGTTGGTCGTGTGGGTGGCGGCCACTCGATGTGTCCCTTTCACGTCGATGTTTCTCTCTCTCTCTCTCTTCCTCTCTCTCCCTCCCTCTCTATCTGAACAAAAAATGGGAAAATGTCCTTGGGTGAGGATAAAATAAATAAAATAAAATAAAATAAAATAAAATAAAATAAAATAAAATAAAATAAAATAAAATAAAATAAAATAAAATAATAATAATAAAAAAAAGAGTTGTTAGACAGGACCAGAAAAGCATCCACCTATTGTTAATTTTGCCCCCACCCCCACCCACCTATTCAGTACTCTACCTAATGCCCTGTGAATTATGAGGTTTTAAAGCTGGTTGGTGGGAACAGGAATTATTCTTAACCTTGTGTGAGTTCTGCTACTGTTCTTTCAAGTCTTATTTTTTTTTCCTCACCAGATACCATTTCCTCACATACATGGACTGTTTAGTATTCCACCTTGTAAACTCTAACTACTGTGGTCTCCCTGGACTCTCATCACTATCTTTGCAACTCAGGAAGTCCATCAGACTCTTCCTTGGTTTTCTTTCTCTATGTCACTGCCTGGAAACTCTTAAGGAAGTAAGCTGGGGCAATTATAGGGCTTATATTATGTTTCTCCTGCTCTCAGGGGTCACTGTTCTTTGTTGCCTGATGTTCAATGTTTTGAGAACCATCATTTCATATATTTTACCTGGTGTTTTAGTTGTTTCAGAGAAGAGAGTAATTCTGGCCTCAGTTACTCCATCTTTGCCAGAACAGAAATCCCTCCACTGGATTTTAAATATTTAATATTCCTTCCCCTTTGTTTTGCCTGATGGACCACTAACTGGGCCAGCCGCCCTAAGTAGAACTGACTGGTGCTAGCTGATTTCCAAACAAATTATACTATAGACTGACACATATCTTGATTCTTAATCACCATCCCCTAGAGTGATAGAGGAGAAGAGAGAAGGAGTAAGTAGCCAAAACATTTCCATTGTTAGCCAAAATGTAGGGTAGAATCTCTATCTGACCAATCTGCAGACTACCAGTTAGGATACAAATTTCATCCTCCAACTGGCTGATTGACTACACAGAGCAAACCTCTGTTCCAGATTCACAGATCTTACCTTAGGCAAAATGCAGACATATGACAGGAGAGTAAGAAATTAAGAGACTGTCTGGTCCACTAAAGGAGAAAACTCAGAGCACATACATGAAAAAGGTCAAGTCTTCATATACCAAGGAAAGTGCATTTGAGATGGTAGTGCAATGGTAGACCACAAACTGTAATTCCCAGAAACTTGATGCTAATGGATGTTACACTAAAAAAATTCTCCTCTTAAATTTACAAATGCATATTAACATGTTGAGCAACTATGAAAAATGTGCTTCCAGATACTCTGGAGGGCATACTTGACCAACATCTCCAGCTTCTGTACTCTAAAATTCATCACCATGTTAAAACTGAGGCTAGATTCCCACAGGTTTCTCTCAGCCAATGACTGAGTATGATGGGTCCCCTAAGGCAGGCCTATGTATGCAAGATGTGGGACTTTTCTGATGGGTGATGTTGGCTCAATGACTCCTTGTTGGCATTGCCAAAACTTTCTTAGAACTATACATGATCTAAGACTTTTCTCTCTTCTTCCCTTCTCCTCTTTCTTCCTTTCTTCCCCTCCTCCTTATCAAGGGTCAGACCTGCTACTCAGTCTGATGGCTCTCCCAGCCTCTTCTGGCTCCTTCCCTGTCTTTCCTCACAGGTGTTCCTTCAGTAACTCTCCTGCACCTCAGTTCCATGTTGGTATCTGCTTCTTGGAGGACCAGACTAACACACATATTGAAGACTCTGAGAAGTCATACAATTAAGAAATTTGTTTCACTTTAAACTCAGTATTTCCCACCCATTTTACTAAATAACACACCTTTTGGTGGACTACCCATTAGAAGTTGGGGGAACTTGGTTTGAGAAATGACATTGAATAGGAAGGACTGAAACAACAATCAGAAAACTTAGGTTCTGGTTCTTGGTCTTCTGCTCATAAAAATATCTAATATTTGTATAACATTTCTGTCAATCAGAATTCTGATATAGCCCTTGAAATCCCAGGTCCCTGGTATACACACACCTTTTCCTGGTTTTTCAATCAAGCACTAATCTAGGTGTTGATGTGAAGGGATTTTGCAGATATAAGTAAGGTCCCACACTAGTTGACTTTAAAATAGGGAAATTATCTAGGTAGGTTTGATTAATCTCATGAGCCTGTTAAATTTGGGTCTAGAGGTCAGAGATAGGGAAGTCAGAAAATTTCTTTTTTTTTATTTATTTATTTATTTATTTATTTATTTTTTCAGACAGAGTGGGAGGGAGAGAGAGAGGAAGAGAGAGAGAGAGAGAGAAACATCGATGTGAAGGGACACATCGAGTGGTTGCCACCCGCACAACCAACCAGGGCCAGGGACAAACTGCAACCGAGGTACATGCCCTTAGCGGGAACTGAACCCGGGTCTCTCCAGACCTCAGGCGGACGCTCCAACCGCTGAGCCAAACCGGCCAGGGCAAGTCAGAGAATTTCAAAGCATGAGGTGAATTCAACAAATGGGCATGGCTGAGTTCCAGTAAAATCTTAGTTACAAAAACAAGCTTCAGACTAGACTTGGCCTGTGATCATGCTTTGTCACCTCCAGAACTAACTACTCAATAAATATGAAACACTGGCCGGTGTGACTCAGTGAATTGACCATAATCCCATGTACCAAGAGGTCACCAGTTCTATTTCCCATCAGGGCACACACCTGGGTTTCAGACTTGATCCCCAGTAGGAGGCATGCAGGAGGCAGCTGATTGATATTTCTCTCTCATCAATGTTTCTATCTCTCTCTCTCCTTCTCTTTTCCTATCTAAAAATCAATATAAACTCTATTTAAAAAAAATTTTTTTTCCCTTCTCAACCCAACCCAATCACCTGGGAAATGTAGAAAGATGTCACTTCTGTGGACATCAAAGTCATTAACCATCGGGTTAACCGGTTCACTTGATTCTTGAGTTTGGATGATGGTATGAGGAAGAAGAGATGGCCAAATATCACCAGAACCTGCTCTGTCACCTGTGCCCAAGGAGACACACAAATTTGCTCCAGCAAAGGGATAAAGGGTTTTGCCTTATTCATCTTTGTATTACTAGGGCCTGGCACAGTGCCTGGCAAATGAGAGTAATCAGTAAATATAAACTGCATAGTTAACAAATAAGTGAATGAGCAGTGGAGTGTTATTTTGACTCTACCTTTTTCTGGAGAGTGGTAAGAGGAGCCCAAGGAGAATCACCCTGCTCTCCTGGAAGAGTGTGGTGAGTCAGCCTTCCACTAACAAGTGGACAAACATGGCCGTGCCCCACCTTTGGCTCAAGCCTTACACCCACCCAACCCCTGCTATCTCCCACTCCCACCTTGTCCTTGCTCTTCAAAGGCCAACGGTTGAAGAGGACCCGGAAAGTTTGGTAGGCCTTGATGGACAATTCCTTTTGAGTGATGCCCATTGCTTTATCATCACCCAGATGCTTCTGGGAAATGCTGACCAATCCGTAGAGTACTGTAAGGAGAGGAGGGAGTTAGAGCCACCCATCACCTTTCCCTTCCCACAAAGGGAAGAATACACACTTATAAGTACAGTCCTCTCCTCCCCAACCCTAAAAGAGCTTTGGGGTCCTGTGCTGAGAAAGGCCAACTCCACCACCACCTTCCCAACTATCTTTCCTTTCTGACCATACCTAGTCCACCCAGTATGGGCAGGGAAAGTGAAAGAGAAAGGCTGTCAACAGCTACATCATCCCTATCAAGTTTGCTCCTTGACCCAAACCAGGCCAAGAAAGGTCAGATGGAGAAGAGCATCTACTCACACCTGACCTGCTCTCAGCCATCACTTGCCCCTTCCATAGACTTATGGGGATATTCAGAGGGACCTAATCTCTTCCTGGCCTTCTTTCCTCCCTCTGTGATTCCAACAGAGCCTTCCCCAGACGCTCCTGACCTCACCTTTACATATTGCCAACATGTCATCCTCCTCTTGGACCATCCTCAGAAAGTGCAGGATAGAGTTCCATATGGAACCAATGTAGAAAGCAGCATCTGGGAGGGAGAGTATAAGAAAAACATCCCTAACTCAGGGAGAGGAGCCTCCCAGCCTTAGTGTAGAAAACCTTATGATTGGGGACCAGGAGGCCTGGATTCTAATCCTAGCTCTGCCTCCAAAGAGTCCAGACAACCCAGAGCAAGTTACTTAATTATCCTAGCTTCAGCTTCCTCACCTGTTCAATAGGACTACAGTTTCTAATGTGACCACTTCACAGGGCTTCTGGGAAAATTAAGCTCAATAATGGATGTTAGCACAGCATGTAGATGCCAGGTATTGCCACACACTACAAATGCACAGTCCCTTCCAAGGACCCTTAAGGAAACAGAGAGCTATGCTGCCTGAGGCCCTTCTCACTGTTCGTACTGAAGAGAACATCTGCCCTGATTAGATCAAGAGACACGTTTCCAGCTTCTCTCCTTGTGTCCTCTGAGTCTGCTGTGCAACCCAACACATAAGCCTTGTCATTTTGAACCTAATGCCCCGAAGGCCAGCTGACTTCCCCAACCTCTCTCTGGCCCCAACCCTAAGTGGTAAAGAAAGGGCGGGTACTGTCATTTGCCTGGTGACTTGATTTTTTCACACTTTGTGATTGAGGGAGGGGAGTAGAATGGGTAAGAGAGCCAATGCTGTCACCAGCAGCCGCCAGGATGGAGATTGTATGGTGATTCTCTTGCCTCACCCTACTACACTATTACCTTCCAAACCTCTAATCAAATTCAAAACGTCAGGTTCCCCTGAACAAAGCAGTCCTCACTTCCCTTTTGCCCCTCCCCACCTCTGTTGAATGGGGGCTTTCTATTCAGCCTTCTCTCTCCATCTTTGTTCCCAAGTCTCACCGCCAGCCCCACAGTATCTCATGCCCTAATACACCCTCCTATGCCATTTCTGGTCTCCAGGAACTGCCTCCTGAGTTCCCATCAGTCCCACAGGGATCCTAGTTTGGCCCCCTCCCCACTACACACACACACCCATGACCAGATTAAGTGGAGATGTCCTGTGGAAGGAGTCAGGAGAATAAAGCTATGCTCTAAATTCCACATAGCACCCCCACCACCTACTGCCCGTTCTCTTCTCAGACTAACTCTTCCACCACAGGGAGCAATACCTTGGGAAACGAGGAGCTTCCCCACTGCAACCAGGAGGCTCCCTGGGGGCAGACTGTACATGTGCGGTCTTTCCCATAGCTTGGCAATGATCATTTCTGGAGACTGGGACCCCAGAGCCATTAGGACCGCAGTGCATATCTTCTCCAGTTCTCCCTTTGGCTTCTGGAAAGAGAAAGACTAACTGTTCCAAGACTAATTTCCAAGATCAGTCCTTCAGCTTCTGAGAATTGGGTTTGGTCAATAAGTGATTCTCCTCTATCTGAAGGGCAGTAACTAACCTATCTCATCCTACATACAGCACCACTTGAACATATACCTTCCCTGTGATGGAGAGCAAGAGCCTCCTAAAGTGTGCAAGAGGGCAGGAAATCAAAAAGTCTGCAAAGTCTCTGGGCGTGTGTTTTGGGCATTTCCAGAGCTCAGAGCCTTCCCTGCAGCAGCAAATGAACCATCAGAGAGGTGGGTAGATTGTGGAGGAACTTTGAAAAGTCCCTGATCGCTCAGGGGTATTGATCAGAAAACAGGTGTGCCAAGGAAGGCAGGTAAACTGGAAGACAGCTTGTATGTAAGCAATTAACCAAGAAAATAAGAAACTAGATTTACCCAGTGTCAAGAAAATTAAGTACTAAAATATATGGACAGATGAATAGGTAGAGGTCATGAATGTTCAGTCCAAAGTTAGGCTAGCAAACAAGAGGGTGCATTGAAATAGGTGAGTAAATAGATTGAGGTGATTAGTTGAGTTGCAATAACAAAGGTGTGCCTAATATATCTCAAGAGGAGGTTTAGGACACAATGTAAGAACCAGGTCAGGTTTGAGGCCAATGCCTAAGTCCTTCCCCCTTTTCCACCTCATTTCTCCCACCTTACCCCTTTACTTCATTACTTTATCTTCTAGGTCTCAGTTCCTGAGACATGTTCAGGGTATAAGATAAAGGCTCTAATAAATTGTTTAGAAATTTTAGGTACTCCCTGGCCAGTTTGGCTCAGTGGTTAGAGCGTCGGCCCATGGACCAGAGAGGCCCAGGTTTGGTTCCCGCTAAGGGCATGCACCTCAGTTGCAATTCGTCCCTGGCCCCGGTTGGGGTCATGAGGGTGGCAACCAGTCGATGTGTCTTTCTCACGTCAATGTTTCTCTCTCTCTCTTCCTCCCTCCCACTCTAGCTGAAGATAAAATGCAAAAATGTCCTCAGGTGAGGATAAAAAAAAAAGTAACTTTAGGTACTCATATCCTAGACACCACTTAATTTCCAAATGTCATCATCCACTAGAAAGGAACCCCTGAGTTTAGACCTGGGATCCTTTCTCGCCCCACAGCCCCCAACCCAGAGACATGGGCTCCTCACCATTGTCCTCAGGTAGTTGACAATGACATTTGTCATCTTCTGGCACAGTGGAGGCGCCAATTTATTATTTAAGATTTTGAATTCCAGTAATTTGAGGGTTTGTTCGATATCATCTTCTGATAACTATAGGAGAGAAGAGACTCACGAAGGAAGGTTGAAGGATGGAGATTCAAGAGAGACAGAGACAAAGATATTAATGATGCCTTGTAGAGAAAGGAAGAGGAGTGACTCTAGAAAGAGGATTAAAGCTAGACCCAAGGTTGAGGGGAGGGGTGGAGAAAGTATGGGTTAAATTAGGGACATAGGATCCCAACCTGGAGCTGTAAATGGACTGAGCCAAGTAGTGCTCTGCTTACTGGAAGTTCTTCCCACTCTCCTGCCACAGTGGGTGTGCACCCAGCCAGCTACCTTTATGAAGATGGTTCTGTCCTGGCTGGAGCCAGGAAGATGTCTGAGATGTCCTCACCTGGCCAGCAACTTGGAGTTCCTTCAAAAATTTCTTGACGTTCTTTTTTAAGATATACGTTTTGAAGTCTTCATTAACACTATCTGTGGAACCTACCCTAAGTCTAGACATCTCTGTAAGGAATAAAGAGGGTGAGTTGAGGGAAGCTGTTTCTCTCTTGCTGAAGGTGGGTATGTATTTCTTCAAAAGTGGGTAACATGGGCCGACTGGTGTGGCTCAGTGGTTGAATGTCAACCCATGCACCCAGAGGTCACCAGTTCAATTCCTTATCAGGGCACATGCCCAGGTTGTAGGCCAAATCCCCAGTGTGGGGCATGCAGGAGGCGGCCAGTCGGTGTTCTGTCTCATCAATGTTTTAATCTCACTCTCCTTTTCCTTTCCTTTCCCTGTAAAATCAATAAAGAAAGAAAAAAAGTGGGTAACATGGTATGATGAAAACGTAAAAAATAATGAAAAATCAGGAGACAAGTTTGGCTTCTGACTATGACTTTGCCCCTCATTAGCAATATATCCTTTGGCAATTCACTTAACTCCTGAAGACTCTATTTCTTCATTTTCAAAATTAATATAATAAAAATTAGTATGAGAATCCTAAGAGATGAGATATGTGTGTGATACCTAACTTTTAGGATGTCAGCCTGCCCTTTGGATCACATCTTTTCTGCTGAGATAAAAAATTCCTTCTATGGGTGAGAGTTGGGTGGAGAACTGGGGGAAGGGGAGGGTTGTCCACAGGACTATAAAAAATTTATTACTATAAACTACAAACTAAAAAACAAACAAACAGTAAAACAAGAATTTATAGATATGAACAAGTGCTGGCAAGGAGGTGGAGAAAGGGGGAATCTAGTACACTGTTGGTGGGAATGCAGACTGGTGCAGCCACTATGGAAAACAGTATGGAGTTTCCTCAAAAAATTAAAAGTGGAACTGTCATTTGACCCAGCGATCCCACTTCTAGGAATATATTCTAAGAAGCCTGGCCTGGCCAATGTGGCTCAGTGGTTGACCCATAAACCAAGAAGTCGCCGGTTTGATTCCCGGTCAGGGCACATGCCCAGGTTGTGGGCCCGATCCCCAGCAGGGACATGCAGGAGGCAGCCAGTCAATGTTCTCTCTCATCGATGTTTCTATCTCTCTCTCCCTCTCCCGTCCTCTCTCTAAAATCAATAAAGAAAAAAAAATTTTTAAAGAAGCCTGAAATACCAATCAGAAAGAATATATGCACCCCTATGTTCATAGCAGCACTATTTATAATAGCTAAGATCTGGAAACAGCCCAAGTGCCCATCGGTAGATGAGTGGATAAAAGATCTGTGGTACATTTACACAATGGAATACTATGCAGCTGCAAGAAAAAAAAAGTCTCTTACCCTTTGAAATGCCCTGGAGGGACCTGGAGATTATTATGCTAAGTGAAATAAACCAGTCAGAGAAAAACAAGTACCACATGATCTTACTTATTTATGGAATATAATGAACAAAATAAGCTGGCGATCATTATAGATCCAGAGACATGTAAGTAGGAAACAGACTGACAAATCTCAGAGGGAAGGTAGATAGGGGAGTGGGAAAAGATAAACCAAAGAATATATATGAAAATATATGTATATGCATACCAGTGGACACAGACAATAGTGTGAGGAAGGCAGGAGGGTGGTGGAAGCGGGGAGGAGAAGGTCAAGGGGGAAACATCTGTAATGCTTTCAATTGTAAAGATCAAAAATAAATTTACAAAAAGAATTTATAAATATGAAGATGAACCAATTAGAAAACTTGGAAATTAAAAATACAGGTATTACAATTTTAAATCTCAACAAATAGGATATAGTCAAGACTGAACATAGTTAAAGAGAGAATAAATAAATTGAAAAATAATTATGAGGAATTCATCTAGTAGGCAATGCAGAAAAATAAAATAATTTTTAATAAAAGAACAGTTAACAGACATGTAAGATAGATTGAGAAAAGTTATAGAAGAATAGAAAAAGGTAATAAATATAATTGAGAATTTCTAGAATTGAAAAAAATGACAAGAATTCTCATATGGAAAGTGCACCCTAAGCACACACCAGGATAAAGAGAAAATGATGCTTTAGTGAAACTGCAGCATATTAAGGATAAAAATAAAAATTCTAGAGACACTAGAATAAAAGAATTACCTACAAAGGAATAACAATCACACTGACAACTAATTTCTCAACAGCAACAAGAAATGTCAGAAGATAATAAAGAAATAGCATGATGTATGTTGTACATTTTATAGAGTCTAAAGTAACCCCTACGGGAAGTATAAAAGAATATATAACTATGAAGTTTATAGAAGGGAAAAAATAGAAAGATTTTTTTAAAATAACTCAATCCCAACAAAGGCAAAAAATAGAGAAATTAGGAACATAGAACAGGTGGCATATTCAGAAAGTGCTTTTTAAAAGAAGGTAGATTTAGGCCCAAATATGTTAGCAATTACATTCAATGTAAATTGGTTAAGTGTTCCAGTTAAAAGAAAAATACTGTTAGACTGGAATGTGAATCACCCCTTTGTCCAATACATCCACACTTTATAACTTCCACCTGTCAGTCACTTAGTAGCTGTTTAGGGTATCAGATCAACTGTCATGGTATTGCAGTGCTTGTGTTCAAGTAATCCTTAATAATGGTCCCAAAGTGCAAGAGTAGTGATGCTGGCAATCAGATATGCCAAGGCAAAGCCATAAAGTGCTTCCTTTAAGTGAAAAGGTGAGTAATGCAATAAGATATTTTCAAAGAGAGACTTTTATAACTTTTATTACAGTATATTGTTAAAATTATTCTACTTTATTATTCATTGTTTTTAATTTTTAGAATGCCTAACACAAACTAAACTTTATCATAAATATATATGCATAGAAAAAATATAGTATATATAAGGTTCAATACTATTTGCAGTTTCAGGAATCCACTGTGGGTCTTGAAACATACCCCCCATGGATAAGGGGAACTACTTATACCATACCATGGAATACTACTCAGCAATTGAAAAGAAGCAAACTGTTGAAAGATTCCACAACCTACATGGATTTCAAGGGTTGTATGCCGAATGAAAAAGGCATTCTTACACTGGCCAGTATGGTGCAGTTGGTTGGAGCATTATCCCATACACAGAAATATTGTGGGTTCAATTCCTAGTCAGGGCACATACCCAGGTTGCAGGTTCCATCCCTGGTAGGGGCATGTACGAGAGGTCATCAATCGATGTTTCTCTCATATCTCTCTCTCTCTTTCTCTCTCTCTCCCTCTCTCCCTCCTTTCATCTCTCTAAAATCAATTTTAAAAAATGTCATTCTCAAAAGGTATAACTTTATGACAACAAATTTGAAGACTTCAGATATATTGGACAAATTCCTAGAAAATAAAGATCTATTAAAATTGACATATGTGGGAAAATATGAACAGTCCTAATACTACAAAAGACATTGAATTCATAAAATTAATAATTAATACCCTTCCTACAAAGAAGCTCCAGGCATGAACAGCTTCATCAATAAATTCTACTAAAAATAAATAAATTATATTAAACATTTAAAGAAAAAATAATGCCATTTATACACAAACTCTTCCAGCAATAGAAAGAGAGGGGTGTATATTCTTTTGTTGTTGTTGTTGTTAATCCTCACCTGAGGATACTTTTCCATTAATTTTTAGATAGAGTGGAAGGGAAGGAGGAGGAGAAAGAAAAACATCAACTGGTTGCCTCCTGCACGACCACGACCAGGGCTGGGGATTGAACCTACGACTCAGGTACAAGCCCTTGACTAGGAATCAAACCCATGACCCTTCAGTCCAAGGGCAGATGCTCTAACTGCTGAGAAAAAACCAGCCAGGGCAGGAGGGGTATATACTTCAACCCATTTTGTGAGATTATCATAATCCTTATACAAAACTTCAAAAAGATAGTTCAAGAAGGGAAAGTTAGGGCCAATCTTTCTTATAACTATTGATGTCAAAATCTTTTTTTTTTAATTTATTTATTTATTTTTGTCACAGATGTTTCTCCTTTTTCCCCCACTAATTCCCCCCTCCTCCTCCCTCTCCTCCCCTCCCTGTCCCCAGCTTCGTTGTCCATGTCCATTGTTCATGCATACATGCATATAAGTTCTGTGGTTTATCTCTCCCTCACCAACCCTCTTCTGAGGATTGTCAGTCGGTACCCCACTTCCACGTCTCTGGGACTACCCCATTCCTCAGACTGTTATGTTCATTATATTCTACAAATAAGTGAGATCATATGATACTTGTCTTTCTCTGTTTGGCTTGTTTGGCTTAGGATAATACTTTCCAGGTCCCTCGATGTATTCTCAAAGGATAAGAGATCTTTCTTTCTTACAGCTGCATAGTACTTTGTGTATATGTACCACAGCTTGTTTATCCATTTGTCTACTGGTGGACATTTGGGCTGATTCCAGATCTTAGCTTTTGTAAATAGTGCTGCTACAGACATGGGGGTACATATATTCTTTATGATTAGTGTTTCAGGCTTCTTAGGGTATATTCCTAGAAGTGGGATCACCGGGTCAAATGGAAGTTCAATTTTTAATTTTTTGAGGTAACACCATATTGTTTTCCATAGTGGCTGCACCAGTCTGCATTCCCACCAGCAGTGTACTAGAGTCCCCTTTTGTCCACACCCTCGCCAACACTTGTTGTTTGATGATTTGTTGATGGCGGCCATTCTGACAGGTGTGAGGTGATACCTCACTGTTGTTTTAATGTACATCTCTCTGATGATTAGTGATGTTGAGCATTTCTTCATATGTCTCTTGGCCATTTGTATGTCCTGTTTGGAGAGGTGTCTATTTAGTTCCTCTGCCGTTTTTTAATTGGGTTCCTTGTCTTCCTTTTGTTGAGTTGTATGAGCACTCTATATATATTGGAAATTAACCCCTTATCTGATATATCATTGGCAATTATGCTCTTCCATACAGTGGGTTGCCTTTCCATTTTGATGATTGTATCTTTTTCTGTGCAGAAACTTTTTAGTTTGATGTAGTCTCATGTGTTCATTTTCTCCTTTGTTTCTGTTGCCGTAGGTGATGTATCAGTGAAAATTCTGCTGCGTATAATGTCTGAGATTTTGTTGCCTACAATTTCTTCTAGGATTTTGATGGATTCGTGAGCCACATTTAAATCTTTTATCCATTTTGAGTTTATTCTTGTGTGTGGTTGATGGTCTAGTTTCATTTTTTACATGTAGCTGTCCAATTTTCCCACACAATTCATTAAAGAGGC